GCTGTATATGTTTGTGTGTGTGTGCATGTGAGAAATGTATGGCAAATAAATTTCTGCGTTCTGTATTCAAATAAAAGTTCATAAATCGGCATTAAATACGACGGCCAAGAAACCCTTTATTGGTCCAAGAAGAAGAAGAAGCAGCAACAGCGGCAGCAGAAGTGGCGTTCCATTGTGTCGATGAGCCAACAAAGCTGTGAATAAGCCATATGCATATGCAAGTGTATTTGTAACTTTATAAACATTTGCGTGAAATATCTGTTGTTGCATTCCGTTGCACCTTGCGGYCCTAGGTCTTGCCCCCAAGTGGCTTGCAGGCAGGTAGACTGACGCAGTTTAAAAGCTCTATGCATTTTACAGAATTGTGTGTACATGTGTATGTGTGTGTTGGCTCATAATTCAAACTTTTATGTTCGCACGTATTCGGAAATTTTTATTACTCATAATGAGTGATTTCATGGAAGCCCTTTGTAATTGGTAAGGCAAATTTATTGCCTATTGATATGAGTGTCCCTAAGTGTTGTTTGTTGTTGTTTATTTGTTGTTGCAACATCCATATGATGATAAATTGTATGTTGTTGCTTGTTGTCGGCGTTTAACTATAAATGCTCTTAGARCTGCATTCAAACAGATTTCAGTTACTCTTAGTACCATTGCGAACAAGATCGAAAGCGGATCGAAACTCAGAGCATAGATTGATCATATCTGTTTTCGATGAAGTTGGAAGGTTTAGTCAATGACCCTATTCAACTCAGTGGATGTAGGCTGTCGAGAGAGTAAGCATCTTAAATGACAAGTAGTATGGACTGAAGCTGGAAAGCTCAWTGTACCCATATATATGTAGACTACCAGCATATAGTTGTCATAGMAACTGACCAAAATGAAATTCGTGTATAGAAACATTACCGAAAAAGGTAGTTACCGACGAAAACATCACAAAAAACAAAGGTCACAAAGGTCACAAAATCATTTTGAAAGGTCATAAAGTAAAGTTTTTCGAGGTAGCAGTAATTCTAAGGATATAAACTGAACGTGTACATTATATCTTTCACGAATATTTTTGTAAGTGTAATGCTCTTTGCAATGTGTGTGCCGCGCAAGCTCGCTTTTGACCAGAAAATACGATGCGGTTAAATTTTTAGAGATCTTCAACAGTAATAAACCTGAGTTTTTCCATCAATATGTGACAATGAATGAGACATGGYTCCATTATTTCAGTACAATCGAAAGTCATCCTAGTGGACTGTACACGACAAATCTGCTCCAAAGAATGGGTAAACGCAACAGTCGGCTGGCAAGGTTAAGGCGTCTGTATTTGGAATGCGCATGGAACAGGTTTTATTGACTATCTTAAAAGAGCAAGGATCATCAACAACAATTATTATATAATCTTATTGGACCATTTGGAGGATGAAATCATCAAAAAGCGTCTGCATTTCAAGAAAAAGAAAGTTCTGTTTCACAAGTCAGTGGAAACGATGTCAAAAGTTCATGAATCTTGCTTCGAATTGCTTCCACATCCACCGTACTCTACAGATCCGGCTCCGAGCGAATATTTCTTGTTCTCAGATCTTAAAAGTATTATTGCTGCGAAGAAATCTTCGAGGTAGAGAGGTGATCGCCGAAACTGAGACCTATTAGRGTAGAGTAATCGTGTTATGCTTACTAGTCTAGCCTCAGGTAGGTTGAATTTTTTATTCTCTCTGCAMACAGTTAAATTTCAGCTTATTCTCAGTCTTTTTTTTAAAATTCATGACTTTAACCTTTATTGTCTTCGGGTATGACTTCAGAAAGAGTACTTAAAAATTATTTAGGCAAAAGGTAGCATTTTACTTTTATTCGCCGCTTCCCTTCTTATTTTTTAATTTGGTCCAAATTTTATATGTGAAAGCATTAAAATGCTATCTAGTCGAATTCAACACGAGGGATTGTCAAAATACTTGAAATAGTCACATTAATTTGATATCTATTTGACTAAACCAATCTGTTCCAGGTATGCATGTCAGYTGYTTGTTCGATTTGASACTTTCMATTGTCTGCATCAACTTTCAAAGTGGTAGAAAAACGAAATCACATAGTAATTTCTAGCAGAGATTAGGAGTATTGCAGGATGAAACCGAACTTTTGATCACTTCAGAGGTCTCTTTGTAAGTTTTTCGAAAATAACGGTCTATGACAGTAAGCCAACATACGGAGCTGGAATATAAACTAAGACATATCAAGATCTAGTGCTCTAAAACTTGCAGCTTGTTTAAAATATTGAAGTCCCATACCATACTACTTCGACTAGCAACAAAAAAAAATTTGAATTTATAATTTTGAGTAAAAAAAGTAATTTTTATGCCATAGGTTTTCTTGTTTTTCTTCTTCTTTTTCCCTCATTATTATTGTTATTTTGGTTGTAAATTTCAATAAATCAATTCGTAAAGAGTTCTTCAAATGCACAMGCAATCAAATCGAAGCGGAGGAATCATTGCATACAATTATGATAACGTTAATGACCGACATAAATCTATTAATAATCCATTATCTATTGAGTTTGAAAGAAACATGATTCAAAGTGGTTGACACAAGTAAACAAAACGAACGTAGATGCCAGAATTAGAATGAAGAATGAAGAAATAAAATTAAAAAGCAACAAGAAAGAGAACACATGAGGGGAAGCGTTCAATCAGCGCCGATAATAAAAACATGCATCAAATATTTCTGACAATTTTTTGTTTGCGCTGCGAAGAGAAAGATACTTTTCTACATGTTTTCAAACATTCATTAGGGTGGGTCGGATTTTTTTGCTAATAATTTGAATATCCGAGAATTTTTTTTCCTTTACTTTCCTACATGCATATGCATATATGTATAAGTACATACATTAGGGTGGGTCGAAATTTTTTTGATAATAATTTTTCACAATTTTTTGTTTGCGCTGCGAACAGAAAGATACTTATTTTCATACATGCATTAGGGTGGGTCACAAAAAAATTTGCTTCAAATTTTCCGACAATTGTTTTGTTTGCTGTGAACAGAAATATACTGTTCTAATTGTATTTTTATATGCACATACATTAGCGTGGGTCAAAAAAAATTATTTTTAAAATTTATTTTTAAAATTATTTTTTGAAGAGCCTTCAACTTTCCACAAAATTAATAAAACGAATTTTTTTTTTTAGCTGGAAGCGAGATACANTTTTTTTTTTTAGCTGGAAGCGAGATACAAATTTTTCTAACTAATTCTAAGGCGGCTGACCTTCCCGATACAATCAAGACTCATACGTGGAGAGCTTTTCTTAGAGGTGTCTATCTCTATAATTTTTCATACTATGAATCGAGACAAAAACACTCAATTTTTTGGATCCACCTTAATATACATATGCATATACATATATGACCATAAACATTAGTACATGTGTAAGCAATGGCTTTTGAGTAATACACCGCTTAACCCTTCTCCTTCACAACCAAATTTATCAATAAACAATGAAACAACAGCAATAATAACAACAAGAACAAGAAAAATTACAACCAAAAAATATTCAAATGCCAAAGCAAGTGACAGAGTTATCGCGCTACACCAACGCCGCCAGGCAGACAGTCAACCAACGGGCCGAAGGCATGGAGCTTCGCTGACAGATATGAATGTGCGCCGATATGAGGAAGAAATTAGACGCACCACAACAACAGCAATGCGCAGCGCTAACAAAGCGCAGACAAAGTGGCGAATGCGTTAGTTGTCACCAGCGTCTAACACAACAGCAACAGAAACAACAACAATAGCGGCAAAAAGTGTGCAAACGCAACGGCGAGATTTTTAATCGAATTTGTATTGAGATTGCAAGGCCATAACCCAACCCCAGCCACAGTGCTGCAAGGCTTTTGCCAATCATTGATTTCTGAGCCAGCCAACGGCGGCAACGTACTTGCAACACCGTGGATGTCGCACGGCCGCCTGCTGGAGCGCTAAAGAATTTATGGCCCCCTATGGTTTTATCGACGCCTTTGCGACAAGGCGACCCCGGCCGGCCGGCCGGTGTGTTGCGACTGACTGCTGTGCTGCGTAAACTTACTTGTATGTTGTTATTTTTATTTGTATATTGTTGTTGTTTTTATTAGTATATTTTTGTAGTTGTTACGTTGTGCTTTAACTTTGTCGCCGTGCGCTTGCCAGAAACTGCATTCGCGGCGAAGGAGCAGAAGAAGACGCTCCAGCAGTCGCACTTGTTTTTATTTCTTCGGTGTAAATTCTTTTCGACAGATAACAATGACAACTCTCCAGCTGGTTGCCGCGTTGGCTCAGCATCTTTACGCGTTTTATCAACCATATTTTTAGGGATTTAAATTGTGAGCTCTTTTTTGTTTTTTGTAAATTTCGATTTTATTCAATTCATTTTTCATTCTCACTCTTGATAAGGGTTGGAATTTCATTGTTTTTGTTGTTGTTATTTTTTTTGTTTTTTTTTTTTTTTGTTGCAATTGCAGCAATATTCTGTTGTCTTGCTTGCATGTTTTTATGATTCTTAACCTTTGCTTGTGGCGTGTTGCACACCTTTTCACTCATCGCCGTCATTGATAATCACTTAGCTGATATCGGTGGCAAGTATGAGTGGCGGACCTAATACAATCTTTAAATATTTTTAGAATAAAACTTTAAGTGCGTACTCGCATTATTTTCAATCACCTTTAGGTGTCGATTATATCATAAGGCGCTTTGGGAGTCGAGTGTTCTGTTCTGCTGCGGCAGGTTAAGTATAGAGAAAATATAGCTTGTACAGTATATTGGTCCGAAGATTATTGTAAATAAACTTTTAGTTAATAAAAATAGGTATGAAAAAAAAATTTACATTAATAATTAATTAGTTTGAATTAGACATTTAATTTGATTAATTAAAATTAATT